GCCCCCGACGACGCAGTGAACCATCGCTGAAGGGTCCACCACCACCACGAGAGAGAAGTGCCCTGCCATGTGGGGGTCACAAACACATCGGAGGGTGCTAGGGCGTGACGACATCCATATGCTGGGCAACAGACCGGTGCGGGTCGAGCCTAAGACCGTAGGGAGGCGGGTACTCACCCCGTGTAGACCGGAATAGCGAGATACTTGACTGTGAGCGCGCTAGGACCAGAACCTGCAGATATCACTCCCCAAAAGTCCACCGCGTAGCCGAAAGCCTTTCTATCGAGTGCCATCCACGCCTTCCTGTTGGCCAGCCTCGGGTATCGGATGCTCAGAGCACTACACATGTCATCGCACTAACTCTTCCATAGTTAGTGCATGGCAAGAAGTCCGTACCGAGCACGGGAAATAATAGATACACGAGGGAACTTACGCGTTGTGAAAATCGATGACCGGCTCCGACGTTTTCTCTCCATCAAGCAGGCGCTCCATGTCACACCGGAGATGTGGACCCCAACACCAGCGATATTTCTTTGAACGATGCGAAGCTCCCCTGCTACTTCATGCCCGCAACCACGTCGGATGGTTCAGTGTCAGCATGCTGAATCTTGATGCACGTGCTCCAGTAGAATCTGCGGCGCGTTCTGGTGGCTGACTCCGCCGGCGCCGGACGCTTGCCACACCCCATCGCTGGCTGGTGCATGGAGGTATCCTTGCCATCGTCTTAACGAAGGCTTTTTTTACTAGCCCGCTCCTTACGCAGCATAGCGCTCATGGCACGAGTGAGGGGACATTCCGATGTGCTCACCATGGCGTGCACTGGATTAGTGAAAAAACAAAGAGGTGCTGCACCTGCCCTACAGGAGTGTCTGGGCTTGAGCAGTTTAGGTATTTGTTTATCTCTGGCAGGCATGGTGGTGTTGTGAGATGGGGGGAAGGCTTGCGAAGACGTTTTGAATGGCGATGTGGCATGGGGCCAGAGCGACGGGGTAGACACCTCATCTTTGGCAATTTTTCCACGTAGCGCTAATACCTATGCCCATCATGAGCGTGCTATGCCGAACTTGAATGTGAAGCCCGTTTTGGCGTGCAGGGCATGCATACAAATTTCTGCGCCAACTCCGCAAATCATGATGCTCTGCCAATCATGTCTGGTGTGCTCGCCGCCATGACGGCATGGCCACGTGTCCCGTGATTGAACCCGTACAGAAGCCGCAGCCATTGGCAGATTGCATGCTTCTGCCGAGAATTCATGTCGGACATACCACCCCACCATGTGCCACATAAGCACACCCTAAACCCCCCATATCGCACCGAGGGCATCGCTGATTTGCCCTTCCGATATGCTGCATAAAATGGTGTACACTTTGGTGTATCGGTAGAAACTCGTTGTAAATATATTCTATTGTTCACACGCCAGGTTGTGAATAGATAATAGAAGTACATGCGTGAAATGCGCCATCCAAGGTACGTCGCACGCGGAGCTAAGGGTTCAGAGATGTGTCACGTTCAAAGTTGCGACTCGTAAATGGGCAGGTTTTTTGGACACCCGCACCGACACCTCTTACGCATGTGGCGTCTGTACTCCTGCAGCACGAGTCTATACGATGGCCTCTTCAAGTGGATTGGGGGGGTCTCCAAGGGGAAACGGCAGGTAGGCTTGCCGTCGGAGGCGTGCTATGGCTCTGCGTCTTCAGGAGCATTCACCCACCATGCTAACATGCTTAGCACGTGCGCGAGGTTCACGGCGTGCATGCCATCCATGCCCCCCAACGTTGGACGAATATGGCTGTGCAACGCCCGTGCTACTGGGCAGGCGCGCGTGAGCGTAGATGGATTCAACGTCATGTGATACTGCCTTGTCATATATGCCACACTGGACCTGCGCGGATCGCGCGAAAAAGGGTGTGTGAGTCGGTCATAAATGTGGCATTAGAGATGGGAAAAAATGAGTGCGGCTTACCACCGATCCTTCGCTGTAGGTGAAATCCATCAGGTATTTCCGGACGTCGGGCTGCGGGGGAGTCGCGTCCCCGGAAACCACTTCATCGTACGTGGACATATCGTAGTTCAAGCTTCAATAGTCCCTGGTCGCCACGCGCACAAAGTTGTTGACAATGTGCCAAAGGAGCGGCCCCTCGTAGCGGTCGATGTGGACGGCGTGCATGCACGCGCGTACCGGCAGATCCCTCCTGCCTAGCAGACCAAACGAGGATGCCAGAGACCTCCCTGCGGCCTCGACGCGCAAGTACGCTGGCACGGCTATGCGGGGCGCAAGGTGCCCAGCAGTGTCTTCCAGCATTCTGGGTGTGATGGACACGCCCGCACGATGGAAGCGCGAGTACGCCGCCTGCATGAGAACAATGGCGGCGTGCGGGTAGTCGCGCAGCACGGCATACGTGGAGAGCAGCGGCGCGTCGCAAGCAGGACGAGTGCGCCACACCGGTCCTGCATGAATGTCGCAAAACGCAGTTGGTGGCTTGTCACCAAACTGCCAGGAGCAAGGCTCTCCCGGAGCAAACATTACTGCAGCCTCGAGTGGTATCGTCATAGACGTAGATGGACAGGACGGGGGGTGGGTAACCAATGAAACTCTCAACTTGGGCGAGGCGGACTTATGGCCGGGCGCCTGGCTGGTGGTTTGACGGAGATATTTGTTGAACATGCAAGCAGGTTATTGCGCCATGTGACGCTGACATGTGAAGCTATCGTGTGCTCGATGCAGATAACACAACCATAGCCAAATGGTGTCCCAAATACACTTGGTCCGACCTATACCCTTACGCACACGTCACCCGAGTGTAACGTCATTGGAAGGGGCGCCGTGTGTGGCGTTCCGATTGACTTCTCCGTTGTGGGGCGTGGCAGCTTGCACTCCCCAACATGTTTAACACAACACAACCGCTTATTTTGCATAGATCAAAGTGCAAAATGGCAAACTTGAGAGTGTCGTTCGAGACATGTGGGTGCCACCCGAAGGATGTTTACGGATTCTTAGAAACTACTCTTATTGTCAACCTCATGCCCACATGGGACAACTTTTCCAAATTCGGCTGCAATAACTTCCACGATACATGGGCACACGCGGCGAACGTCTGCGTGTTGTTCAGTGCCGATGGACGCGTGAAGAGTAAGCCCCTCATCATCGTCCGCGACATCCACCCACTCAGTCTCCCCGACGATTTTCCATTGCATAATCATTGCTATCTCAAGAGCACCCCGGATGGACACATGACGCCAGAGGTGAGTACTTTGCAGGACATCAAGCCTTCCATGTATCATCTGTGCCATGCCCATATGCACTGTTTACTCTCCGCGTTCTCATGTCGTACAGTTATTCACATGCTACATGGAGGGCTTCAACATGGCGAAGTCCGCAGAGGATATACACACCATTGTCCTGGTGAACGATGATGCGCGACACCACCTGACGACTCCGGATTCAGCGGCATATACCCTTTGCGGTTTTGACGTCGAAGCACTCACGCACACGCGCATAGTTAACGTGAAAAGAGCGGTCCCCTTGTTGAGAAATCCAATGCTGCACGCATCGAGCCTGCGTTTAAAGCAAGGGTCTCAAAACCCTCAAACAAAGACACATGCATAGCATGCGGGGTCAAACCAGTAACTAGGATGAAGTTGTTCTAAAAACAAAACAACAACCATCAGCAATGACCGCCAGCATGACGGTCAGCCGTTCTTTCTCGTAGCCCACCAATTCGTCGGGATAGCAGTTGAGTTTGCGCTCTGATGCACAAACTCCAAACACTTCTCCATTTTTGCCTCACGATCTGCAAAAGGCAGTTAAACACAACATCGTACGAACGCAAACATGGGTCAACATGCGTAAATACGTACCAAATTCACTCGAAATGACAATGGAGCGAGGAAGAACTAACCGCTAGTGAGGTGTTGTCCAATCATGGTCTTGACGCACCTCGTCAAATCCCAGTGCGTGCGGAAGCAGAAGGTCGAATATGACGATGCTCACCAGTCGACTTCGGGGTGCCGCTTCCTCATGTATTTCCGATTGTTGCCAGTTGATGGAGACCGCCAAGCCACGCACGCGATGGGAGAGGAAGCACTTGTAGAGCTCACTCTCCATGTCAGAAAACTAACGCCTTGCATCCAAAGCCGACGAGACGACGCGTGCAACATGCCGCCGCCACCAGTCTTGCCTTGTTCTTTTTCCACTCGCGAATCCGACAAAATTGGACCCTCGCCATCTTCGCCAGCTTGCGGTTGTTATCACCCACTCATTTTTTTAATTAAATTGTTATATCCACCATAGGGTGATAAATACAGGGGAATATAGATGGTAGCATCAGCCAGAGTGCGACTAAATACGGCCAAAACTTTGTTTGTAAAAAAGAATCATAAATAAGATCGAAAACTTCAGCAATTCACTTACAATGAGCAAATAAAGGCTCCACGAGCCTAAGACGATACCATGTGTTGAAGTAACTTGACAGAGTTACCGTTTCAGCATTCCTGATAATAGTTAGACTGTACTAGTAAAACGACACCACATATAGACGGGCGTGCGTGACGACGTCAGCAGTCGCGAGTCAACGCGTGAATAGTAGGTTCACGCGTATTGTCACCCGAAGAGTCACTAGACAATTCACGCGGATAATCACGTTAATATATGAATAAGTACAATTCGAATAGGTACTTCCTAGCCTGTGTATGTTTTATCCATTATTATTATCCTTTTTTTTCGCAGATTTCCTTTGCAAGGTGTTAAGTCTTCTGCTGACTTCTACCCTTGGTTCCTCCAACTCTAGATCCTGACCACCCTAAATACGTGGTTTACTTCAATATGGTATTCTGAACAAATAGAGTTACACGGACTTGTTACGAGCTGATTTCAATTACCCCATCAGCGGAACTTAGTGATCTTCCATTATGTCAGTTAATAAGACAGAAAATACAAATTCTTCTACTTCTGGCTATCTACTGATGGTCTAACTGACTTTGCTGAGCCTTGATAACTAAAGTTAAATAAGAGTTGCTGCTTCCGCATGGCCTTCAGCCCCTGGAGATGAATCCGCCAGGTCTTTTGACTTTTGTGGATGACCTGTACAACAACAACAACGACAACAACAACAACAACGACAACAACAACGACAACAACAACGACAACAACAACAACAACAACAACAACAACAACAACAACAACAACAACAACAACAACAACAACAACAACAACAACAACAACAACAACAACAACAACAACAACAACAACAACAACAACAACAACAACAACAACAACAACAACAACATATTCAGTACCCAACGTCACAAGAAGCACTGTTCGTTGCACCAACTGTTGTCAATCAAGCTGAAGACCTCAACTTCTTTTTATGACCACAACTTCTATACTTGGAGATGCAAAATTAAGCTCCTCGCGCAATCTTTGGGTATCTGGGGATAATTTGATAGTACAAGCCATTTCGTGAAACATGAACAACCGAAGAACAACACATTATTACAAGTATTCGCTAATTGCCTACACTTTGCTGGTACGGAATCTCTCACCTGAAGAATTGTTGGGAGTACGGTGCTTCAAACCTTCAATTGATCCTGCCTTCTATGCTTGGGATTACCTGCACAATTGTATAAAAAACAATATTCCATGACAGAGAGCATGTTATTAACTCAACTTACAGCAACTCAAACGCTACCAGGAGAAAAGATCGGCAGCTATATCAACAAATGCAGCTCGGCAAATGCGGAGGAAACCTCAGCAATGAATTATTTGTCACTATCCTCTAGCAGGACCTGGACCCGAATGGAGGCAATTCAAGTTCCTAATTCGTTCCCAATATAACATCTCGAAAACTCCACTTTGTGCGACTCTCATGGCAGAGTCGCAAGACTTGGATCTATATAATGCTAAGAGAGGCAAGGCCAAAGATGGGTTAAGCTTCTATACAGAAGGACCATGTCAAGGGGAGGAGACAAGAGGTGGACCAAGTCAATGGGGGCAGACAAGAAAAGGAAAGGGCTTATGCAAATTTTGCAAACGAGCAAGTCATTATATTGACAGGTGTCAGAAACTGAAGAACAGGAATCGGGAGAAGTTGGGTGAAGCTGCCCCAGTCAAAACAATCTCGCCGCCTTCAGCTTCTTCAAGTCAATCTGCAAAAGGCAAAGCGATCATTGGTCTAGTGGTACTCGCCACTGAAGACGACGACTCAATGGAGATAGTGAGAGCGAGATTGAAGAAGAACCTGATGACTTACCTCCACAACTTCATTCTCCTCTTGAAATTCCAGAATTAGCAGCAATCAATGAAGAAGAAGAAGCAGAACATCTCACAAAATTTTCTCGACGATTGAACGTGCTGCCGTACGCCCACATCGCCAAGCGAGCGTATCCTTGGCACGTCAACACATGGTTTCATTATAGCTGTTGCGGTCATCACATAGCGTCTTCAAGCCGATATCTTCTCAACTAGTGAGATATGCCAAGAGAAGAACAGTTTACAATACCAGAGGTCAACAATTAGACGATACAAGCAGCAGCAGTTGGAGACGTTCTTCACTCCGACTTGTACCTGTGTTCAACGGAAATGTGGCACAAGCGGTTAGGTCATGCTTCGTAAGGAGCTCTCAACAGCTCAATTAAAGCCACGGTCTTTGACAAAGACGCACTTCTTTTAACCAACGGCTGAGAGCTTCCACCTAATAGACGCCAGTAACCCTACACCATCTGCCCCATCGCTCACCTGCGTTACTATACGCTATGTTCCCGTCCCACTTTTCAAGTGCTCCCAAGTACTCACCAATGGACGTCGTATTTAGTGACTTATTCCTTATGCTATAGAAAGCAGACAACATTAGTGCGGAATGTACAGACTTGGGAAAACTACATTCTTCTAGTCGCCTATGTGGACGACTTACTGTACACAGGCTCCTGCAACCATCTTCTCCCTTGCATGGAAAAACATATGCAATAGATTCTCGACATGACCATTTCCCACAGCTTGCAGCCCCGACGCCAACTATCTCTCGTTACGCAAGTATGTCGGAACACTTGCGAAAAAGTTCGCCATCACTCCCATCAGCCTCACTACTCCTTTTCGTCATATTCTGCCCAATTACACACCCAACACTACCCCACTTAACACCTCCGAGCATCAGCTTTACTAGCAGCAGCTCAGATGTCTTCTTTTTGCAGCCGTTAACTGCCGATCGGATCTTGCTTATATCACTAGTCAGCTCGCACAGTAGCTATGCCTACCTGAAGGGGAGAATATGGTTGATCTTCGCCGAGACCTTCAATATTTCATTTCGACACCTCCTGTCGGCCTCAACTGTACGACAACTACTTCAGCAAACTTTCGACTTACATGATATGTTGACGCGGATCACGCTGCTACCCCGACAACAGGCGTTCGCGTAGACGGCTCATCTTCAAGCTTGAACCGGATGGTGTACTTTCCTGGAATTCAACGAAAAAAGAGGTTATCGCACTTTCATCAGCCGAAAAGGAATTCATTACAGCTAGCTCTACTGTTTGCAAAGGGTTACTTCGCGAACCCTTTGCGAAGGGCTCTATCTACAAGGGTTACTTCAAGAGGCAAAAATCACAACGACTCGAAACTTCAAGCTATTCTGCAACAATCAGAGTGCTATCAAGATTGCAAACAAGCCCAATTTTTTCAACAGGACAAAACACATCGCCCTGCGATATTTCTTCGTCAAGGGCAAAGTTGACAAAGGAAAGGTCAGGCCCTCAGATTCGTTTAGGATCCCCCTGATTGTCTAGAACCACCTACAAAAAAAAAAAAAAAAAAAAAAAAAAAAGAACCGGTCAGTGTGGCTGGCCGCTTTCCCCCCGATTTGACAGGGTGCTCGATTGGAAAAACACTGATAGTTCAGTGTCCAATGGTAGACTTTTGCTTTCTACCTTTGACTGGGTTTCCAACATCTGACTGGGTACAGCTAGTGTGTAGCATATAACCAAGTTAGGCAGCGACTGACTACACCTACATAACCTACCCCACACGAAATTTGCCAACACACTTGTCACTAGGGCACCTAGCACCTGTTCTATGCAGGTAGCATAGCTGGGCTGCAACTAATTTGGCTTCGCATTCATCTACTGACATTTCCACTGCCTGGCGCTCATCCCAACGGTCATCTGACGCATCCCCCACAAGCTGTCCAATCTCCTCGTCCTCTGCAAACAGGGCAGAAGCTCCGCAGTTCCTTAAATGCCTTCCGCTTGTCAATCCCTGACATGCGGGAAACAAGCAAGAGGAATTTGACGGGTTAAGTTAAAGCAGAACATGGCAAGGGGTAACAAGGGACAGCACGTACTCAAGCATTGGACAACGATCCGATCAATCAGATGCTCAGAGTGTTCAGGATGTTCAGAGTTCAGGATGCACGTACCTGGTAGGATCTCGTCCTTCTGCTGCGCCCGAAACATAGCTACAAGAGGCATCATGTTCTCTTGACAGATGGCGTTACGCTCCTGCCTCTGGACCGGCCAGCCATCGGAGATGAAAAGTCGGCAGCCCGACAAGTTGTCCAGGTCCCCAAGTCGATCCAGCAGGTTCTGCACCATGGTCTCCGCCATGGCCGTGCACAGGTCCACGGACCTGTCATGGTTGAATGGCCCCTCGTAGCCCTCGAGCTGGTCGTCGTGCAGGAGGTACGTATGGGTGACGGGTCGCCTATCAGCATCAACACCCTGCACCGTCACGCTTCGGCTCCCTCCCTCGCCGTGGGCCTTCAGGAAGTTGGAGAGCTGTTCACTAAGCCCCCCATTGAAATCGTCGCCGCAGTCGACGTAGTGGGATTCGATAAAGCTGGTGGTGCAGGCGATCTGTGACTGCACGCCGGCGATGTCGAGCTGCAAAGTCAACGAACAGGGAGTCTTAAAACGCTACAGGGGAACTTAGCATGGAATTGATGTTGTTATGAAAGTATAAACGCACCTCGCGCTGTTGGAATGTCTTGTTCAAGACGTTCAGCTGCTCAAGCAGATCGGCAAGGAACTACAAGAGAAATTGAAACGTATAGCTTGTGATGAGTTGATACACGGCCACATCGCTCAACTCGTGCAACATCACAATAACAGCAGGCAGCACAGCAACCAACCTCAGCACGGCCTCACCGCGGGACAACCAGTGGACGTTGTGGATGCCCTGCATCTCCAACGATTTCATGATGAACAGCTCCTGCAGGTCCAGGAACCTTTGATGCCAGGGTCCAGAGCAGGCAAGGAACTCCGACAACCATCGAAGAAAAGCATCGATCATGCTGAACAGTGGAAGAGCATCTGCTGCATCTTTGGCTGCCAATGCCTCTCTGCAATGAACGAATGGGTAGTTAGAATACCGTCTCATGACATAAACAACGCATGATAGGACCAGCTGTCAAAATCCACTGGTGGGCAATGTAGTGACAAGAAACCAGAAGGGGAACTCGCATCCTCAGGCGTGCGACCACCTCATTCCGGACCCCCATCATGACAGCGGCGCCGTCGGTGCTTATGCCGGTGATACGCATGAGGTCGACACCCACAGCTTGAAGATGAGACAGGAGGAGTCCCAGCAGTGATGATGCGTCCGCCTTGTCGACATTGTGAAGGGAAAAAAACTCAATCACGATAGTGTTGTCGTGCAGGAAAGTAGCGTACACAATCAGGTGCTTCTCTCGGCACCTATCCGTTGACTCGTCGATGCTCAGGCCGAAGTAAGGACTTGCGCGGATGTAATCAAGCTGTGTGGTCTGCGGCCACGTCGTAGTGGCCTGGGTGAATTCTCCAAAACCGTACCCGTCACAACGGCGGCAAACAAAGGAGTCATTGATTGAGGGAATATTAACCAACCTTAACCAACATTAACCAACAATGTTAACCAACAGTAACCAACAACCAACATTAACTAGCACTTTCGAGTTGTAGTAGGTGCCGTAAGCTTTCTTCGGGAATCCAGCAACGCCCTTGCCCGAAAGGTACTTGACGAGCCGAATCCATGCTTCCATCGGTTCATTGCTTTGAGAGTTGAAAAGTAGTGCATCGAGCAGTGCTGTGACGCGCTCCTTCTCCAAGGCCACAGCAACCGGGTGCTCGTCGATGCGCGGCTGGCGTGTCGCCTGCTACAGCAAGTCCGCCTGGCGCTGCGTAGCCAGTTTGTGCTTGTTCATGGCGGCGTGTTGCTTGAAGGCCTGCGACTGGACATCCTTGGCTCCTCGCCTACTCGCCTACTCGCCCGGTTTTGCCGTTATCCCCAGCATGCTCGGAACAGACACTGCACTTGAAAGCGGGAAAACCAGCCGCAGTTTTAGTTAGTACCAACCACGGGTAACGGTCAGTCCAGAGCGCCTTAAACTTCTCGAGAGCATCAGCATACAGAAGTTCAATAAAATAGCTCGTCGGGGAAAAGGGGACTCGAAGAGGAGACCCAGGTGCCGGGAGCGACGGTTGACGCGGTTGCAGG